TTGCTGCACAGGATAATCAATGATTTATTAAATATAATGTAAGTATAAAATAATATAATTCAAGGATTTCCTCTGACTCGAGTTATAGCAGTAGAAAAAAATCAGAAATGTAATTCGCTCAAGTTACCACAGGCGATCACTTGAAATATACCAATACCATAATAATGCTCAGGAGGGAAAACAACAACAACAACTGTAGCCTATCTAAGAAGATATAAAAGTACAGCATACTTATTATTGTCATAATAACCTTGTCGTAGCGATTTCCTTGAAGTGGACACTAATTCACAATTGACTATGTCATGTAAACGTGTTGAAAATTAGCACTCAGGCAGTTAATTTATGATTTGCCGAACTGTTTCCATACAAAAGCGGGTTATACAGCGTATTCAGTCATCTTCTCCATTGATTTACGCATTACGCACGTTTTTATACAGTCTATGATTACGCATTTTTAGCTAAAGTTGGGAGTCTCCCTCTATGGTAGGAGCTCTGATGTAATTCACACATTTCACCACAGGAGGGCGTTAATTTGCGTTTCGCTGACTGCAATTTTGTAATTTACGGATCTAAGAATATTTTTCTGCTAATCAAAAGAGATGATTTAGCAAATGTAATCAACACCTAGTAAATCGCAGGGTAATCAACAATGTATTAAATTATATTAATTCAATATAATGCCAACGCCTCGAGTTATAACCGCAATTAATAGCAGCAATGTAATTCACATAATTCACCACAGGAGGGCGTTTGGTTAAGTTCTTTTAATTTGCATGTTTAAAAAAAAAAAAATGAAATTAATATTAAAGGACATTTAGTGTACAGATCTATGAATATATTTCTTCATATAAAATAAATGTTTGCCATATGGTTTGTTTCTGAATATAATAGTCAATAATTTATTATGCAGTCTATGCGAAAATGTTATAATTCAAGATTTGTCTCTGACTCGAGTATAGCAATAGAAAAAACACATCGATGTAATTCACTTAACTCACCACAGGAGGGCGATTTTGGCTAACTATTTTTTTATATATATATTACAAATCTAAGACTATATTCTAAGGTTAATCAACTTCTGCCAAATCAAAGGGTAATAAACTATTTATTCGATATATTAAATCAATTCAAAATATCTTTTGGCTCGACTTACAGTCCCATGAACAACAACAGTAATGTAATTCATGCGCTGCTCAATTGATCCATACAAATAAAAAAAAATTTTAAATGAAGATAATATTAAATTACTTTATATATATATATATATATATATATATATATCTATGAAGTATATATATATTCATATAATAACAAAATTTGTCAATCTATATATATATAGCATAGTATATTAATATACTTATATATATATATATAAAATTCATAAAAATATGTATTTATTACTTTTTGCAATTTAATAAAACAAAATGATACATAATATTTAGG